TATTGTCAAGTTGGTTCCCATATAACACCCAGTGCTCATCCCCACAAGTGCCCTCCTCCATGCCCATCACCCCCCCACCCCTACCCCCACCCCCAGCAGTCCTCAGTTTGTTCTCAGCATTCAAGAGTCTTTCATGGTTTGCCTCCCTCCCTCTCCCCCACTATTTTCCCCCCTTCTTCCCCCCCACGATCCTCCGTTAGTCACTCAATGTTTCTATACCTCTGGGCTGTTTTTTGTCTTCTTTTTAAAAATCACTTTCATGACGTTGACCTTGTTGAAGATTACACACCTGTTGCAGATTAGGAGTAGATATACCTCAGTTTGGGTTTGTCTTTTTCCAGGATTTCTTTCAGGTTTGCCTCCTTGGCAAGAATATCCAGGAGGTAACGCTTGATTCTTTTGATGAAGTCCTATTGGGTGATGCACCATCGCTTTCTCCTGTTCCTGATGATGCTCATTTATCTGCCAAGTCTCTGCTTTGTGAGCTGCTCTCTCCTCCTGGCAATTCATGGGTGCTTGAGCGGCAGTACTTTGAAACTGTGTCAGTGTCCTCATCAATTGTAATCAATCCTGTATTTATTCCACCTATGGGTACTCGTGTTTTCCTGTTAATTCAATAGGCCTTAATCCCTTTCTATTGTTAGTTTTCCAGATGCCCAAATTGTGCTTGATGGGTTTGTGAAGCCCCTCAGGCTGGCTCTGTGTCCTGAGAGATGTGTCTCCATCACTGTGCAGGACAAGATGTTTCAGGCTCATCATGTGCTCCCCCAACCTGGAATCAGCCTTTTCTCTGAGAAGCCCTAGGTCCTTTCAGTGGCAAACGATGTTTATAGGCCAAGATATAGGCATAAGGTGTGCTCATTGGTCTTACAGTGTCACTGTTTCTAATAACTGTCTGTGGAGAGAGGTAGGGGATATGTGTCTTTGCACATACACACACGGATGCACGCATGCACACACACACACATTTCTATCTCTATCAGTCTATCATCTATCTATAAAAAAAGCATGACTTTACATTGACACTCAGATCCAATCTCTGAATACATAGGCTTCATTTGGCTTTCTCCATTTCCAAATCAGTGAGTCCCATCCTGACAGTGTGAAACCTGGCCTCCGTTATTCTTATTGTATTTATTATTTGATCAATCTTCCTTTATGTAATGAATCCCAACAACATCCCTTAACACTCACGATGCCCTCTATCACTTGGCTCTTACCAGATCATATTTAGGCTCTGGCTCTTACCAGATCACCCCCTCTGTGTGGACACCCTTCTCACCTAGCTTGGGCTCCCACACCCATGACAGGTTGCTCTTCCATGTGGACACCCTCCCCACCCTACTCTGTCTCTACTTTAGAGTCACTGTGCCTCCCTTCTCTGCTACTAAACCCCAATGTGGGGCTGCCCACCTGGCTGTGCTGCCAGAACCGTGTTATACCAGGAAGAAAAGCAGTGAAAGAGAAGAGAGGAGAAGGAAAAGAAAGGGTAGGGAGTGGAGTAGATGAAAAGGATATATTCTGTGATACCAACTTGAAATTGACAAATGCTTTTAGCTTTTCTTACCAATCTACTGGCCAATCAACCATCTCTTATTCGATGTTTACTGTGTCAGGATAGCAGGGAGCTGAGGATGGAACACAAAGAAAAAACATGTTCCCTACCTACCAACCCATCAGGGCAGATGAGATGAAAACATCATATCAAAACTAATAATATAATACTAACTGGGATTCTGCCTTAATGTGCAGGGAGACATCAGTTACTATTTTTGTAAACAGATGCTGACTGACACACTCAGTGTAATAGTTAAGGTGTAATATTCAAAATAAGATGTGTGATATAAATGTCACTACTACAGTCACCACAGAAATTCTTGTTTCATGAAAGTTTGTTGATAAAATTGTTAAGAAATTTTTATTCTTGATTAGTGCTCAGGGGAGTTAGATGGTACTAACTGGGGGTGGTCTATGGGAACAATATAGACTGAGTCTACATGTATGGCACTTATTAGTCACCTCCTTTGCTTTCCACAATATATAATGCTCCACACAGACACTGAGAAAGCTACAGAATCTCTAGTCATCCATCACAGGTGGTACATGAAACCCACCTTCATTTCTGGGTTGAACTCACAAAGTAAATTGAAGTCTTTGGTGTTCTGGGACACAGCTTCTTGAAGAACAAAAGGAAAGTCCTTAGAGAGTCAGGCTCTACTCACAGTTTCATCTCTTGGCTCAACCTTGAGAATAATGGGTTTTTCTGGTAGAATAAACCCTTGAGCACTTAATTTGAGGGGGATCTGCAATAGTTAAACAAGGATATGAGAAGGAGAAATGAAGCCCTGCCAAACAACAGAAGCAAAGCTGGCAAGATACATGAAGGACAAAAATGCATTACAAACATATAAATACTACTTTTAGCATCATATATCTCTGATTATTTAAACTTACTCTGTAAGTTATCAAGACTGCACCATGGAAACATTCACCCATGACTCATTCAACAGAATATCTTTTGAGCACCTACTCTGTACGTGGCTGGACACAAAGTCATGTTGGTTTGTGCTCTTTTTTTATTGAAAGTTTAAGTAAAAAGGATGAGTCTTTAAAGTTGAAAACAAATTCTTGAACATTAGGCAACCATTTGAAAAGTTATACAGAGTTAATTTTGTATATGTTGAAGCCTACAAAGTCACCCTGAGTGGGTATTACACATTTTATTGTATGGCCATCCTCATAGTTAAACATCCTGTCACCTCTCCCAGCGGAAATATCCATTCATGATGGCAGATTGGGATGGAAAGAAAGCACAATTTGACTGGAGCAGCACTCACAGAAGGTGGTGCTAAGTAATCAGAATGGCCTGGACCATGGAAGTCCTTCATATCTGGCAGAGATACTTCACACCAGTGATTCTCAACTTTGCTTGCACTTGAGAATCAATGGGTGCATGTTTAAAGCCACACTCTGGATGAATTAGATTAGAATTTCTTTTTAAACATAATTTATTGTCAAATTGGCTTAGATACTATATTGGAATTTTTGAGATGACTTGAGTGTCAGGATTTTTAAAGCACCCACTGATCCCAGTGCACAAGCAGGGGTTGAGAACCATGGTCATGAGATCATCTGTCAGTTGCAGTAGAGAATAGCATCATTCAAAAGTCATATTGTGGTAATCACTGCACATCACGACTTGTGCATGTTATGGTCCTTTCTTTTCAATGGACTTGAAATAAATTTAAAACATTTTTCAAGTTCAAAGGTCTGTGCATAATCATGTCATGCTAACTGCACTCAGTCTAATGACACTTATAACTGGGTTTTCATAGACGTGGAACTCAGAGCTGAAGGAAACTTAAAGGGTCACTGATGACTCCAAATAAATCTCTGGCCAGCAGAACAAATTATTAAGGATAAGTGAACTCATTCTCTCTCTCTCTCTCATACACACGCACACACACACACACCCCACATATCCATTCCATATCTCTTAGTCTAAAAAAAAACAAAACAGCAAAACATTCTTTATGCAGAAAGTTCTCTGTCTGACCTGTGTTTCTTTACAAGGCTTGAAGGAGAAGTTCTGCAGGAGTCTGACAACAGCAAGTTTCATGTTCATGATCGCGAACCTCATGCCAATGCAGTTTCGGGGTCCAGTTCCAAAAGGCATGTATATATAAGGATTTATGCTGTCCTTGTTCTTCTTGCTGAACCTGGTTCCATAAAAGAAGTTGCAAACTAGTTAGTAAAACATAAAAACTACAAGAGCCACATGTGTGGGGCTCTCAACCTGGAGTACACAGGACACTCTTGGGGGCTGGTCACTGATACCCTGCCATGCTTATTCTGCAGTGACACTGTAAGCTGCAGATCCTCTGCATTCCTCTTACCCTATAGGAACAGCCAGTCTTGGTGAGGTGATGAGATGAGTGTTGTTAAAAGGAAGAGTTATCTTAAACACTAGAATTACAGTCAGGGTGGGGAGATGTTCACATCTGAAAGGCGAGAAGGAAATGAGCCTGATGAAGGAAATGTAGGTTTCTACCTTCACTTTGGTCAAGTGCTCAATAAAAGGAAGTAGGAGAAACACCTCCCATGATTTACATTGTGATTTTTCCCTTCTCTTTCCTCCCCTCCCTCCTTCTATCCCCCAAACAACTTCCATAGAAGAGACTGTCAGAAGATTTACATGGGCACACAATTCTGCTCCACTGATGTGTATCACCAGTATAATCACTGAATTATTGTCTGTTTGCTCCATGAGGCTATAAGTTCCTGAAGTTTAGACTTACATTTTCTTCAAAATGCATCCCTCAATGAAATAAGTCAGGCAGAGAAGGACAGATACCATATGTCTGCACGTATAGGAGGATTAGTAGGAACTTAACGGAGGACCATGGGGGAGAAGAAGGGGGAAAATAGTGGGGAAGAAGGAGGGGGCAAATCATGAGAGACTGTTGAATGCTGAGAACAAACTGAGGACTGATAGGTGTGGGGGGAAGGGGAAGGGGGTGATGGGCATGGAGGAGGGCACTTGTTGGGATGAGCACTGGGTGTTATATGGAAACCAACTTGACAATAAACTATTTTTAAAAAATGCATCCCTATGGTATAGATAAACCACATCTTCTTGATCCATTCATCTGTTGATGGACACTTAGGCTCTTTCCATGTTTTAGCTATTGTGGAGAGTGCTGCTATGAACATTGGGGTACATGTGCTCCTATGCCTCAGCATTTCTGTATCCCTTGGGTAAATTCCTAGCAGTGCTATTGCTGGGTCATAAGGGAGTTCTATTGTTAGTTTCCTGAGGAACCTCCACACTGTTTTCCAGAGGGGCTGT